TTATAAACTCTCCATTTTGTTTCTTTCTTATAAAATTAATACTTTAACCATTTTTATTCACTAACAAACATTTCATTTTTATATATTATTATGGAAATAAACCATTATAACCATTAGATCCAGCTTATACGTTAATTTCCTTGGTCTTTACAAATTATTTATCACCACCATTCATTTCATAAATATGCATTTATTGTTTATTATAAGGTTAGAATGTGAATTAATTATTATCTATAAAACATAATCTATATCCGTATTAATCTACTTTAATCTTTTATATCACATTCCACTTTTTATCCTTCAATGATTATTCAATTATTAATATTTATGAATCCTAAGAACAAGAAATCAATTTATCTTACTGTTCATTCAAGCTTAATGAAGATACATAATGAGTATGATCATTTATGGTTTATTAAAGCAACCATCCTTTTTATTTATCCCAGAATTTAATACATTTATCTGAACTGCCTGAAATAATAAGATCTTCATTATTATTCAGTAATAAACAATAAATTTCATTAGAATGTCCATTCAGTTTCTATTAGCAAGTCCATTAATTATTTTATATCATCTACCATATTATAATTGATTTATCTTCACTCCCAGATACAAAATGATTCGATTATTTCATGAAGTTTAATGTAAACACTCTACCTGAATGTTCAGGTAATATTTATATTTATTTTAATTTGGCATGTTTAAGTTCATATACTTTAATTTAGTTATCACATCCTGCTACAACAATTGAGTTATCCTTATTAATAGCTACTGCATAACAATAATTATTTTATTTAATAGAATTACTTTCGATAAGTTAGAATTTAAATGGATTCATATTATATTTAATTGGACTTTAAGTTATCTATTATTATTATTATCTTATTTAAATTTATTTAATCTCTTCTTCCTTTATCTTAATGATTTAATCTTATTCTCTTTTCTTTTCTTCTTATATATTATTAAATTTCATTTAAGCTTACTATATTTATTTTGTATGTATTTCATTCATATTTTATTTAAATAATTCATTTTTTAATATTGTCAGATTTGAAGGTGTTTCTTAGGTTTTAAATTAAATGTCAAATGGAGATTTTTACATTAAACTAGAATTTAAATCAGAAGATGTAAATATTTTATCAATAAAATCAATTGTTCCCTGGTGGATATAAATTAATATTGCTTAATTTATTATTAAAACAAGATTTAGATATAATTAAGAATCAGATGTAAATCAGTCTTGGTAACCCTTTTGTGTTGTCATTAATTAAAGTCAAAAATGAATACATTTCTTTTCGAATATTTAAAGTTTATATAGCTATACTTCATTAGTTTTTATTTAGTGCTTTATTACATTTTACTGATTACAGCTTTAATTCCCCTCTTATGGCTCTTAATAGCATAAATGCAATTATTGGGTTAATAACAATAGTATACATAAGTTTATAATTACTTTCTATCTCATCATCTAAAATAAAAGAATAAAATAAATGGTTATATTTTTATCAAGACTCCAAAATTTAATTTTGGGCTGCTAATTTCAGATCCTTTTAGATCAACAGAATTATGTTTTATATATTTACAATTGTTGTAGCTCTAAACTATCCATAAGTATAATCAATTTTACTTTAAATGTCCTCATGTTTTTATCTATGTTATATATTAAAATCTATAGAGTCTAAGTATGAACACACCAAACTAATTACTAGAGAATTTTATTTATTTTGATAACAGGATCATTTATAATTTATAGTTTTGTATTTGATGAAAATTAACTATTACTTTATGGATGGATTCATATTGCCCTTTTAACTTTAATGTTAATTTCAAATTCTTTGTTCATTCTAATAAAAATTAAAGACTTGGGATAGTAGTTTTAAAATTATCTTTTGAAGTATTTTTAAAGAAGTAGTCAATTTATCAAAAAATGATTGTATAATGATCCACTTAAATAAATATTCTAGTGTCTTAAATTTTATCAGATAAAAGTTCTAATGATAGCATTCTATGCATGTAGTAATTGAATTAATTGATTAAATTATAATAAATCAGGAAAGTAAAAATTAAACATGTTTAACTAACTTAATTTTTTAGCTTAATCTTCTTTTTGCTCTATCATTCAGTTTAAGATTTTTTTAATCCATTCTAATTCCTTAGTTTTTTCTCTAGATTAGATTTTATAAAGATTCTCAAAATCAATATAGAGTTAATAAATGATATTGAAAATTATCATTCTTTAGAAATATTTTAAACTTTTTGTGTAATCCAAAAACTACGATTCAACATTTTGATTAAGATTATTTCATAAATAATGTTCCAAAAATATTTCATTTATTATTAGTATGCATAATTAATATCCCAACTAGTGGATCAATTACAATCAAAGGTTAACATTGGTAAGGATCCTGTAATAATATTAGACATTCGCCATATTAAATATGGCTTAATTTATATAGGCATCTAGTTTTTAATATTCCATTCTAGCTAAAATCAGTTGCTTCTGAATTGTTGGATTATAAAAATGATAGCAAATAGGAAATATCTAATTGTGTCATATAATAAGAAATATTAACTATATTTGATCATTTCATTGTAATTGCAATCAATTAGAATTCATACAAACATAATGTAAATGAATCAAAACTAAAAAAAAAATAAATTTGAAAATTTTAATCTGTATCATTTTACTAATTTTACTTCTTATTCATTGTAGAAATAAATATGGTAAACAAACTCTATCACTATAAGATAATAGATAACTCGAACAAATTAAATAATGAATATAATTTGTTTTATGAGTAATAAATTTGTTTTATGTATTTTTATTTGTAATGACGAGGAACAGATATGATGATAAAATAATCATCAATACTAATCATGTAAAATTAGTACCTTTTAATCAGAAATTTATCATTCCTAATATATTTGCTTTTTTTTATGACAATTTGCATGCTGGCTGTAAAATACACATATGAAAGTTAAAGGAGAGAAGAATTTTTTATACAAATCTTCAGAATTGCATACTGTTGAATTATAATATAAAAAATATTGTAAGAGAGTTTAAGACGAATAAATTTTTACCCAAATGCTTCTCCTTAAACTGGCCCTTGCGGTGTTATATATATATTAAAATTATGATGTCATCAAAATCCATTTAGATGTTTATTTCTAAATTGAAAAATTAACATATGTTTGCTCTAGCGAAACATATTACTTTGAGGATGTAGTTGATTAACAATTAGTAATGTAATATAACTAATTTTAAACAATTAATCCAAAAAAGGAGGAAAGCAATAACATTAAATAGAGGAGGAAAGGTTAATGTAACAAGGTGAAAAAATATTGATCCAAAATTAGATCTAGATTATTAAGAAAATTAATATAATTGATAATTTTATTTGCAGCTGAATAAATTCCAAAAACAATTTTTTTTAATTTTTAAAACTACTTACATAGAATATCTTCGATTTGAGAATATTATTGATTTTTTAGAAATATCTTCAAAATGATGTAACAATTATTTATTCTTCAACTAATAAAGCGTCAAAAATATGAGCCTAACTTCAAATTATAATACACTCATCTATATGAAGTAAGCCTCGTAAAAGTAAATTAGAATATTTCAATAGCTATATAAATAAAATATTGTTAAATAGATTTAATCTAATGAAAAAAATTACTTAAAAACTGTTAAAGAAACGGATCAATCCTGATTAAAAAACTAATATAGTTATTAAAAATACTCTATAATAATTTACAATTAGGAATTTGCTACTAATTACTGAAATAACCTTTTATCTAAATAATCTAATTATTAGAAGGTTCATTTCTTGGATATAAAATAGATGGAATATGATTTGAATTAACTGAAACCTAATCAACTTTATTATGGTACATATCTTCATGGTTTATGATTTATAATTCTATTACTTAACACTTTTTATTTATTTATTATTTCTATTAGAATAATTCTATTAGCAGCCTTTATAAGGATCATCTAAATTATCAAAAGGAATAATAAAAATTATGAGTAAAATTTAGAAGGGTTCATAACTTCCTCCTTAATCAAGATAATTCAAAATACGCTAATAAGATTCAAATTCTGTTAAAAAAAGTTTTTAATATAACCTCAATCCAGCTATAAAGAAAAATACCTATCAAATTTAAACAATTATAACTACAACATAAAATAAGTCCTAAAACCGTTAAAATAGCAATCTTACAGATTAATAAATTATTAAAACAAATACTTTGTAACCATAATTTTAATAAAATTTTCAAGGTGTTACTAAAGAAGAGAATAAATTAATACACAATTATCAAAAAATGCCATTACATTAAGTTAGAGGAGAATCACTTCAATAAAATTCTTTCGTTTCTAGAAATGAGAAATATAAGGCTTCAATATCATAATTTAGATCTCCTCAAAAAGGTTAGTTTATTTAATAAAACAATTATTAATTAATTTCTAATTCATAGAACAAACAAAATGATTAGAAAATAGCAGAAAGTTAAAGTCCAAACTTATACATAACACCAAAACCTAATTTACCTATCAACGATTCAGAATTATAAAAAAACTGTTATTTATATCCAATAGCTTTATTTTTAGGTAACTCAGGTGTTGGTAAAACATCATTAATAAAAATTATATTTAAAGATTAGGTTAGTAATTTAAAAGAATTTAAATTATATCCAGCAAGAATAAATGATTCTTTAATTTATAATTTTGTAGATACAAAAGGATTTGATTTTGAATCAAATATAGATGAGAGAGAAGAATAAATAAAACTCTATAAATCAATATTTTATAAATATCCAAATAAGGTAGGATCTCTTTTTTTAGTTGTTAATTTTGAAAGAACTGATCTAATGAAAAAAAAATTATTGTCAATATATAAGTTCTTCAGAAAATTTTCCTCTATTATAAGCATAATTATAACAGAAATGTAACTAAGCGATAATCAAAAATAAAGTGAAGCTGAATTGAAAAAAAATTTTGCATATTTCAAACCTTAAAATATTATATTTGTAAGAAGAGATATACAAAGAGAAGAATTAATATAAAAATTGAGTGAAAAGTCATTAAATAAGATTTAAGCTGACTATCAATTCAATGTTGCAGATACTATTTTTGAAAAGGAAGATGAAGAAGAAATGAAAAAGCTATAAAACTAACTAATGTCAAGATTTAAATGATGAACTTATTTTTGTTTAAAATAAATTATGTAATTTTTCAGTACGAAAAAAAAATAAAAATTTAATGTTTTGTAATAAAACATTTTATAAATAAATTTAAATAATGTTATCAATCAAAAAAAGTGTTGGTGTAATTAGAAAAACCTATAAATTTTTAAACAGCTAAGTTTTTTGTTATCATAATCTGACAAAAGATACCACCAAGCAAATTTAATAGACTATTTTATCATTTGAATCCTACTTATTACTAGTGGAGATTATTAGGATGAAAGAGGATAAATTTGATCTGTGCAAAGATGTTAAACAATAAATGATATCCTAAATTATGTTTTAATACCTTATTAATATAATTATTCTGATTTATTAAGATTTAAATATTTTGATCAGAATTTTAATTGATTATTAATGATTAAACTTCCTACATATATAATTTCCTTCAATTAATATTTCTTTCTCTTTCATTTGATTGGCATTTTCTAAATCACTTAATAATTTTTCACATTTCTAAGTTTCTAAGAATGATTTGAATAAATCTCATTTATTAATGATCTTTTTACTCGAAGAATAATTAATCTAAATAATTGATCAATTATAGATTTCTAATTGAATAAATCAAGTTTTGTTTGAGTAATTAATTTTTCTAATTCAAGAAAGAACTATACACAATTTTTGATTGTCCCATAGATATCTTATTTGATCCACTTATTTGCATTTCCAAATAAGTTATCCAATTATTATTGAACTTTGAACAACATTAGATTTTAGTTGATGAAGTATTCTTAAAGGTTATTGAAGTTATTTGATGTTAAGCATATAAAAAACTCTCATCAAATTCTTTCTTTGACTTTTAATTTTATGCACTTTTATCCAATTTTCTCATGCTTTCTTAAAACTCATTAATAGGGTTTGTGATTCTAAATTTTCCATGCATTGAAGACATAAAAGTCTTTAATTTTACTTGAATTCTTTATCACAAGTAATCATTGAAACTGGAAGTTTATGTTTCAAAGTCTTCTTCTTTTTATATCACTTTTGATTAAATAATATATTTTTAATTAATTAAAACAAGTTACTATCTTAAATTCATGAAATTAACATTATAACAAAGTTATGAATCATAGTTTAAAATCAGGGTAAATGAATTTCAATAAATTAACTTGAAATGTTATTCTTCATTATAATATTTTATTCTAATAGGTCTCAGATACTATTACCTTATTAACTTATACCTATTAAAATGATGTAAATTCAGAATACTAGATGAATAGCACAAAAAGAAATGGTTTTTGGTTGATAACTTATTGTGATGCTTTTTTCATGTAAGAAATAGAAGTTATTCCTAGGTCTAGCAGATGCTTTTTGTTCTAATTTTTTTGATAGATGCATAGCAGTCGCCTCTAAACTATTTTGTTCAAAAAGGTTATCATTTTGTTAATTTTACAAAAAAATGCAGTTTTTGTACTAGAGCTGTTTAGAAAATAATACGAAAGGATAAAATGTAACTGCCTAATAGCAATAGATTCCAAAACCAAAATATAGTGATGCTGCTTATAAATCTTATCATACTGATTGTTAAGTCAAATAAAATGCAAGTGGTTGTAAAGAAAGATATGCAGTTGATGCAAATTACGCAGGGAGGGGAGATTTATACAAACTCAGCTACCACAACTCCTTTTAATATATGTCTTATCATCAACACTAAATTTGTTGCTATAAAAAGTTGATTAGTGACTGCACAACATTCACTCATCTTACAGGACTGAAAGATTCTACTTGTATTGATAATAAGCCTCTTAAACTGTCAAGAAAAAAAAGGTTAATGTACAGATTACTAAATGAAGATTAATATATTATTTTATCAAATTATAAATTATAGATGTATTTGAAGAACTTGTTGTATTTCTATTAATGACGGATCTAGAGAAAATAAGTCAGCATGTAAGATAAGAAAGCCACTTGTTAATATTTTACTTTGAAAGTTAATTGTCCAACACCCTCAAATTCAGGAAATTTATTATCAAATTGTATTTCAACGAAAAATCTTATCAAGTAATGCAACTTAATCATTGGAGTGAAGGACTAACATTTTCAATTATAAATAAAAAATGATATTTATATAATTCGAATATTGGTATAACTATTTTCAATGTTTCTACTAATTGTCCTAATATTATAGATTCTGTTAATCATATAATATTGAAGCAATGCAAATAAAGTAAAGAGTACTTTGTATTTAAAAGGCAGCATAATGTTCATGATATAAAAATGCTATAAATAGTTGTTATTAAGCAGGAGAGAGATAATGTATTGCGCTTTTACTTGTAAACAGTATTTTTAGGAGTAGGTAATAATAGTCATTCTAATTATAAATTAATCAAAGCTCGAAGCACTACTGCATGAAAATGCCACATTTATTAAATTTAAAAATAATAAATGTTGAAATTGGCTAAAAATTTGCACAGTAAATTAGACTAATAATAGATTTTTTACTATGGCTACTAAATTTTCAGGCTAATAATCCTCTTAATGTTTTAATGCTATAAAAGGCAATTAAATCCTATTTGTATTAGAAAAGAATTCGATACTGCTTCAGATAATCTTGTGAATCGATTCTCGCTGTTGTTGATTATCAAAATATTATTTAAGCATATTGTATCAAATTATCTATACCTTCAAAACCTATAATGCTGCACCAATTACTTTGTTAAAAGAAATGAAATGTGTTAAATTAGTTTAATTGCACAAAAAATAATGGAGGAGAATATAATTGAATCAACTTAGTTAATACTGCAAGTAAAATAGGATTAAATGGTACAATATGTGTATGAGATAATAAATTAAATAAACAGATGAGATAAAGATAATTAAAATCTTATAAGAGCAATTCACGTAATTGTTAAACTTAAAGAAAAGAATATAACTTGGAATACAGATGAATCCTTGCAAATTGAGAAAAGTATTAAATGTACTAAAAATGGATCTTGTATTTAAACAGTGTTTATAATGATTAAACTGCTTGTCTTGCTGCCATATATATATATTCATGTAGTACTGAAATTACAATTTCTGCTAGCAAATGTGCAAGTCATACTTATGTTGCAAATAATTTCTTAAATGGACTATTCAAAGATTATAAGAAATTTGCACTTTGACAAATAAAATATGTACAGAAATTGATCCATCTATATTATCTTAAAATTATTGCTTTAAAGCGCCAGGATATACATGGAATAGTT